GGCCCTCTGACCCGGGAGATGAGGAAGTACTCACCTCTGACAGAGAAATGTGTTTGAAAACATATTTGCATGAGCTGGCTGGAATCGTCATTAGTTCATTTTTTTAAATGAATAGACATTTATTTATCTATTTTATTATTATTATTATTATTATTATTATTATTATTAATTTGTGCATATGTGTGTGGACACTGTTCCACTAGCCCGTCTTGAGCTCACAATCCTCCTGAGCCTCTTGAGTGCTGGGGGTATAGATGCAGTAGTCTTAGACTTTATTTCTGAGAGCAGTTTGAGGTTATAGAAAAACAGAAAAGCTGGACACACAAAGTACAGAGTGTTCCCACAGCAACTTTCTCTTCAGAGCCCCCTTCTCCAGTCCTCATCAGGACATCCTGTTCCTGAGGTACAGATTGCCCCAAGTGCATGGAGTCACATGTCCTACAGGGTCACCTCTCTGCCTGAGGAGCCCCAGCTGCTCTCCCTCATCTCTGTGCCCACCCCAAGCCTTGAAGCACTCACCTTTTCCTATGTCTGTAGGTTTGCCTTTTCCAGAATACAGTATAGTTCTTTTGTTTGTGTGTGCTTGTTTTAAGGCAAGGGATCACTATGTAGTCCAGACTGGTCTGGAACTCACCATGGAGCCCGGGCTGGTCTTGAAAACGAAGTGATCCTCCTGCCTCAGCTTCCTGATTGCTGGGATTACAGGAGGTGCACCACCAGGCCTAGCAGCGTACTTCCTTTCTGACTGGTTTCTTTCACTTAGCAAGATGCATTTAAAAGTGTCTTCATGGCTTGATAGCTTTTTTCCCCTCAGAAATAGCATTTCCAAAGTCTAGATTTAAGGGCTGGGGATTTAACTCAGCGGCATAAGCGCCTGTCTGGCAAGCAAAAGTTTGAGTTTGATTCTTGATACAAAGAAAAAAAAAGTCAAGATTTACTCTGACAATAATGTAACTACTTTTTAAATTTTCAGATGTCATGTAGAAGCCCCAGGAGTCATAAAAGCCCTCTAATGAGAGTGGTCATGGGTTCCAGTCTTGTGGATCTTCCTCAGGCTAACTCAGCAACACCTAAAATCTCATGACAGGACACACAAGATTTCCAGTGGGTAATTAAGCGTAAAGTGGATGACGTCAATCCCAGAACCATAACCAAGGCCAAAGGTCCTTGTTTATTATGCATTTATTTATTTATTGAGACAGGGTCTTGCTATGTAGTCCAGGCTGGCCTTGAACTCACTATTAGCCTGAGCCAGCCTCAAACTCCCAGTGATCCCCCACCTCAGCCACCTGAGTGCTGGCATTAAAGGCATGTACAACCGTGCCTGTATTTTCTATGTGGTGTACACCGTATAAGCTTAGTTGCTAGTTCAGAACATGCCCCCCAACCTTTCAGCCCAATCTCATAAGCTACTGTCTCTCAGCTGGTTCTGTAGTCGTGTTTTTAATAGAAATATCCAACATTGTAATCACACTTACTTTTGTGTGTAAAATAAATGATGAGAGAGGTGAGGTGAGTGGATAATGTACTCTTGTATAGTACTTCTCCCCACTTTTGGTGTATGGGTTTTGGAGGTTTTGCTGCACAGTGCAAGCTGGCCTCGTACCCAATATGTAGTTCAGGCTGGCCTTGAACTTGTGGCGATCTTCCTGTTACTGAGAATGCAGGTGTGCGCCAACTCAGACCCATCTAACATATCCGCAGTCACAATTACGCCAGGCGCGGTGCTGCCTGCCTGTGACCCCACCTCCGTGGGAAGCACACGAGAGCAAGTTCCTCAGCAATCGAGTGAACCCTTGTCTTGAATGAATGGAGCTGGGATACAGCGCATTGCAAAGGCCCTGGATTCAATCTCCTGTACTGAAAAAAGCAACATAAAAATAAAAACAGTGATAAATCCTTATTTATAATATATAATTCACCACGTTCCTTGTCCTGAGAAATATGTGCTTGATTGAAAGCAACCGAAGACCTGGCTAACACAGTATACGCAACACCTGGTGTTTACGTAACAAGACATCTTAGAGAGTTGGGTCTGGCTTGGCTTGATGGCTCAGTGGTGCCTGGAAAACCTAGTTCCTTTCTGTCATTTCGCTCTCTCCTCCTCCCAGTGCTGAACCTTATCAGCAGTCCTTACCTCACAGACGGGAACCTCAGTCTCAGCTCCACACACCCCGTACTGGTTCAAAGTTTCCAAAGGGGGAAGGCGGGGCAGGAAGCAAAAACTGTCCTCTTCTGAAATCTTCCTATTTCTTTAAAATCAAGAGTAAAATCTTTGCCAGTTCTCAACTTATGGTGTCTTACATCACAGAGGTCAGAAATAGATCAAGGATCTGCCTCTAAAACAATCACAAGCAAAAGGGAAATGATATTATGAGGTTGGCACGGAGCCAGTCATGATTCATCAACTGAGGTCATGGTCCTAGACAATAACAGAGATCTCTCGTCAAGAGGGATGAGCAATAGCTGTCGGAGAGGCAGCGAGAGATTCTGCCTCAATACGTAAGACATATATATATATATATATATATATATATATATATATATATGTATATATATATATATATAAAGAGAGAGAGAGAGAGAGAGAGAGAGAGAGAAAGATAACTATAGATATAATTTTTTGCAGTCCTGGGGATTGACACGGGACTTTCACATTGAGCTACAGCTCTTACTGATCCATTCATTCATTTTAGTACACATTTGTGATTCATGACCAACACATTCCCTGTGGGAAGCTGGTACATAAACCTATTGCACGTTAGTCTTTATTTCTCCCTCCATATCTAGACCCCCTTCCTATCTTCAGAAAGTCTGCCTCTCTTTTCCTATCATTTGTCTTTTATTTTGTTATTTAAATCAGTTATACTTTGGAGTTCTCTGTAAGTGAAACCATGCAGTACTTAACTTTCTGTGTCTGATTTATTTTGGTTAGCAACAGTCTCAAGGTGCATCTATTTTCCTAAACGTCTCAAATTTATCCTTCTTTACAACTGAACAGTACTCCATTGTGTAAAAAACTGCTTCTTGATCAACATGTCTGGGTGTATAGGCTGTTTCCAAAATTTAGCTATTGTGAGTTGTGCTGTTGTCAACATGCATAAAAGCATGTGTCACTGTAACACAGTGTCTTTAACTCTTTTGTGAAGATGTCCAGAGGAGATACAGCAGGGTTGAATGGAATTTCCACTTTTAATGTCTTGAGGAATCTTCACACTGATCATCTTAGTTACTTTCTCATTGCTGGGACAAAATACCAGACACTCACAAGTAAAAGGAGGAAAGGCTTATTTCATCTCATAGTTCATGAGGTTTCAGTCCATAGTTGGCTGGTCTCAAGGCAGGGTGGCATGGCAGAGAGACATGGAAGGGGAGAAACAGCTCATGGCAGGGAGCAGGCAAGAAGAACCGAGCACTCAACCAGAGGCAGGTTATATGCATTTCCAGGCTACACCCACAGGGCCCACCTCTTCCTACCAGGTGTTATGGTTTGTTGTCTAGATGTCTCCCTAAAGCCTCATGCAGTCATGAGAAGAAGGCTTTGTCACAGGTGGCTGAATGTAGTTTGTGATTGGATCCTGGCCCAATATTGGGATTAAAGATGTGCGTGCTATACCTGCTCTAGGGCAGGTAGCCTGAGTACAATACAAGAGCCAGAGTCTTGTCTCCCTCTCTTTCCTTTTGCTCTTGCTGCTATTGTATCTTCCACCATCAGGTACTCTTGCCCCTCTGCCATGCCACCCTGCCTTGGAGCCAGCTGACTATAAGCCTCCACAAACTGTGAATGAAAGGCTGGGGCGGGGGGGGGGCGTTTAGCTCAAAGGCACAAGCACCTGCCTGGCAAGTGTGACAGTACAAAAACAAAACAAAACAAAAATCTGTGAGTGAAATAGACCTTTCCCTCTTTAATTTGGGGCAATAGGTATTTTGTCTAAGGAGTGAGAGAAGTAACTAGACACCATGCTTCACCTCCCAGCCTCACACCCAGCTCTAAACCCATCAGTGACTAATCCAAGCAAGATAATAGGAGGATAACAATGGTTAATAGGTTGCATTTTTTTTTACTTTTAAATTGGTTACTCAGGGTACAATATATAGGCATCTAATTATCCAAACAATACTAGCACAAACTTTTTAAAAGAACCAGTTTAAACACAACTCCTTTACAAGTTTTCCATTCTCACTTTAGTGATTGTAACATTTGTCGTGTGTACTTACTAGAAAATAAAAATAGGATTCAAAGATCAAGAATCGAAGTGAGACCCAGCAGTAGGTTATCTTTCATGATTGCTCATTATTGCTATTTGCTCTGCTCTACTGTGTTGTACAAAATATTTGACTGTTTTTGTTAACTCGCCATGGTTCTTCACCTGAAAATGAAATAAATTATGTATAGCAGGGACTGACATTCTGATTAAAAGCTTGCTTGTCCTGGGAAGAACCTCCAGCACAGGAGTCTTCCTCACCCTTTCTGAACTGCAGGGCATCACCTGACTGCATGCTTAACAAAGAGACTGCCCTGACCAGCTGCTGGTGAATGACTTTGGTCACCCCACAGGGTTCTAGGTGCTGAAGGAAAGGAGGGAATGACTGCTCCCCCACTTCGAGTTGTGCCCCCAGCCTTCCAGCTGTTTACGGATGAGGCAGGCTGAATTGGCCAGCCAGTGGCTCTTGTGACTTTTGCTCAGAGGAATATGAACATTTTATTTTTGACAAGCGATGCACTTTTGTGATGAGTGTTTATCACTTAATCCTTTGCTATTTTGATAGGTTTTTCCTCCGCGCAGTAGAAAAGCAAGAGCAAAGAAAAAACAAGGCCTTTATTACGGGTTCGGGAGGGCTACAGCAGAGTGCAAGATCCTCTGGGGCAGGGAAAGGAACCTGGAGAGTTTTATTCGGCTTAACAGGGGGTGGAGTTTGGAGAGGCGGGCCGAGTGACGTTTTGACAGCTGATTGGGAGAAAGTTGGCCCTCAGGCAAAAAGCAGGAAATTTGATTTTGGGCTTAGAAGAAGAGCGTGGAGTCAGCACTGAAGGGAGGTGCTGTGCAGTGCCTGTGGGGCAGGCGCACGCTGAGCCTGGCAGCGCTTCCCACGGCGGAACCCATCAATTATGTCCATTAATCTCTTAAAGTGAGTGATTCTTGATTGTTCTAACACAGCACCAAAGACTAATGCTGAGGACAGCCCTGAGCTCCACCTCACACTCTGCCCTCCGGACCGAGCTCCAGCCAGGGTGCTTGGAACTGCCCTGGTGTGCACACCAAGCTGCGCATCCATGATGAAGAAGTAGAGGGTGAGTTCTCTGAGATGGGTCATCGTCCCTGGGGCAGGAACAGGGCCCTTGCTTCTACACGGTTTTCACTATGTTTTTTTTTTTTTTTTTTTAAACAGCAACAATGTAAAAGCCTTTATGCTGTAATTTTAAAGATCATAAACTTCAGGCAGTAATATTTTCTGGGTAAGCTTTTAAAATTATTTTTGGAGATCATTGCTTGCTTTATTTCATGCTGTAAAATCAACAGTATTAAATGACGTATTAAAAATATAATAAAAGAATCAAAGTGGGTCAATATGGCAAAAGCCAAATCCAAGTGATTCAGAGGATTTGAGTTTGTAGACTGATGTATTCTTCTTTTTAACTATACAATGCTGTATGTGTCATAAAAAAGCACATCAATTATTCTATTTTTGAATTGTTTTTTATTACTGGGGAATGAACTTGAGAATTTGCAGACATTTTAACATTTTGTATTATTTTGAGACAGAGTCTTGCTAAATCAGCCAGTGGTCCAGGATGGGCTTGAATTTTTGATCCTCCTGCCTCAGACTTGCAGAGTGCTGGGTTATGGTCAGGGGCCAGCCAGCCTGGCTCAATAATTACATTTTTTTAAGTGAAAAAAACTCCAGAACTTAGTAGAGTACTTTTGTTCCTAGTTTGTGTGATGGTGAAATAAGAACTAGATAGAACTACCATCTTTTTCAGTTGTATTTAATTTGATTTGGAAAAACATGATTTGCATAACTAAGTGAATTTTATTCAGGAATATTTAAATATATTGTAAAGTGCGTTTTGTGATGTAAAAGGATGAAACCTTCCTATTAAAATATGAACTTTCAGAATTGCAATGTTTAAGTGTGCTTTCCAGAGGCTGTGATTAAAAGCAGACTCTCACTCTATAACATTAATAGAAAAAAAGTACTAATTAAAAATGCTGAGAGTAAAATGATTTTCACCTAGTGCTAATCAGATTTTAATAAAAAGGAACTGTAACCAGTACTCTATAAAACTTATGAAATATAGGATCTTTTTTCTTTTTTTCTCCTCTCTCTCTCTCTCTCTCTCTCTCTCTCTCTCTCTCTTTGTCTGTCTCTCTCTGTTTGATTAACCATTGGTTCACTGAGTGTTACCTGGCCCAACATAATGATTTTAAGGGAGCAATAAAAGTCAGGCATGCTTACACATGCTCACAACCCCAGCAGTGTGGGAGGTGAGGTAGGATCTCCCAAATTCAAGTGCAGCCCGGACAATTTAGCAACCCAGTGAGATCTTGTGTTAAAATAGGAACTAAACAAAAAGAGGCTCTGTGTGAAGTGCCTGGTTTCAATCTCTATTACTGAGAAAAAGAAAGAAAGCAAAGAAAAAAGAGAGAAAAACAAAGGATGTGGCAAAGTGGAGAAAACTGTGTAGCATGTTTTGTTCACTGGCAGGAGTTCTTGGGTTCTATGAGACTATTGTTTCCTCTCTTCACTTCAAAAACAAGAAACGAGGCACCTGCTTTGAATTGTTGAAGAGGTTTCATTCAGCACAGGTGCATCTCAAAGCAAAAATCTTTATCTTTGACTCTGTCATCTCTATTTTTAACTGGGACTGACTAACCTGGTTTGCTACTCCAAATCATAGCCAGTGTCACATTACAGAATGTGATTCTTTTTGGCTTCATTAATTATACCATGGAATTTATATGTTGCAGGTCCAGAGCTGTGCTTCTAAAGCAGGTCGTGTTGAGCTGGGTGTGGTGGCACACACCTGTAATCCCAGCGCTCAAGACGCTGAGACAGGAGGATTGTTGCAAGTTCAAGATCAGCTTGGGCTACAAAGTGAGCTCAAATCCAGCCTGAACTGCATAGTGAGGCCTTGTCTCAAAAAGACAAAAAAACACAAACACTGGATTGTGCTGAAAATTACATGGCAATCACGATGAACTGCCAATGCTGAGTTGGTGAACCTATATTCTGTGCTTGTAGGAGGTTAATAAGTGAAGCTGATGCTGTTTGCCCAAGATTTCTTTTTGAACAGCAAGGTCTAGAGAATTAAAAGTTAGACTTGTATAAACATGGGCCATTGTAAACCACAGTAGTCTAGAAAAGTTTAATTTTTAAAAAAAGTGATACGTTTAGCCTGTTGAAATAAAACCCAGGAGGACCCTAAGGGTTCTCAGCTCTGTTCTTCTTGTGAGGAACATGATCTAAAGATTTCCTTTTGTTTATTGGTGTATCAATTTTCTTATTCTCCAGTTGGTGTGATATCTTTTACCCCCAAGAAACCTAGCACATTTATTTTGCTGAATGAGGGCAGATAAGGGTTATGACTGTTATTTGGAAAAATGAATTAGAGAGCAAAAAGCTTGAAAAGGTTATATTACTGGGAAATGCATTGAATGAGAATAAGATCAGGTTGAAATCAAGAATGAATCAGTGGAACATGGACTGTTAAGCGTTTGATGAGATTTCTTAGACACTGACATGCGGGTAACCCGACAAGAGGAATGGGAGAAAAGGTCAGTTTGAATCTTTAAATGATTTGGGAAACTGGGAGTAAGAAATAGTATATCACAGACTTGTACTAAAATTTTTATTTATTTTATGGGGGAAATAGATCAGAAGTTGAGTATGAAAGAAGTTTCTTTATTTGCAGTTTTTAAAACTAGAAGAAATTGGGGTTGCAGAGAGGACAACTAGATACCAATTCCTTCCACAGTACAGGGTGAGAGACAAAAAGAACCAGGGTTACACACACACACACACACTCTCACACACACACACACACACTCTCACACACACACACACACACACACACACACACACACACACACACAGAGCCTACTATGAGCAGCCGGCTAATCTGGAGAAACAGAGGCTGAGATGATAGCTATTGAGGTAAAATACAACTTACTGCTTACAGTGTTTGGTGTTTCATTGGCTTTGAAGGCCTGAAGCTGGTAGTCTGATCATCTATTCAGAGGTTAACAATACACAGGACAGCATCTATGGGGAATCTCCTTCTGAAGGTGGTAGCTATTGTTAATTCCCTATTATCTTCTTTTAAAGCCCTGTATCATTTTCATTATTTTGTTTGATATAGTTTTATTCTGTTTTGTCTTGTTTGATTTTGTTATATCTAAAGGCAAGGGCAGCGATTTCAAAGATAACAAAATATATTATGGTAGCTACTTTGGATTTACTATTATTTTGTTTTGAAGTCCTGTATTGCATTCATTGTTTTGTTTTTATTGATTCTATTCTGTTCTGTTTTGTTTGATTTTACTGTGTCTGATGGTATGGACAACTGTTCTGAAGACAAGAGGCATCATGGTAACCACTGTTGATTTCCTATTATCTTGTTTTGAAACCCTGTATCATTTACATTGTTTTGTTTTGATTGGCTTTATTTTGTTTTATTTTGCTTGGTTTTATTTTCTTTAAAATAAATTTTTTTTTAAAAATGAGAGGAAATTATATAGAGTCATTTAAAGGAAGACTGATGAAATTTAGATTTGTAGAAAACATATAAGAAAGAGTAACTGTTCATAATTAATATACATGATTCTGACAGATTTTATAATCTATAACAAAGGGGAAAAAGTCTAATATAGAATGCATGAACAGAGTGATATATGTTTGCCTTGAAAATAATTTTGGATGAGTACAGTAGTGATTTAGGGCTTACACTACTATTACAATAATAAGAAAAATGGCATGCTGTATTGAAGTGGATGACAAAATGCTCAATAATTCAATACTTTGATAAGCAAAGAAACAAACATCAAAATAGTACTACTCTTTCTAACATTTTTGCCAGATTTACAGATATAAAAAAAGTTGAGAGCTTGTTTCTGTGAGAATGCAGTGAAATGGACACTGACTTTCATATACAAATGATCAGAGGATAAATTCATACCATCATTTCTGGGATGCGACTTGTTAATATGCTTCTCCAGTCTGGAGAATGGTCATGGTGGGGTGAGGGGATGAGGAAAGAGTCAAAATGGCTCTACACATATACCAGCTACACGTGGAGCAGCGTGACTGTGTACTGCAAACATGGACCAACAAAAAAAGTTTTTATCTTAAAGAGAATAAAACTAAGCCAAATAAAACAGAATAAAACCAATCAAAACAAGACAGTGTGACACAGTATTTCAAAACAAGATAGTAGGAAATCAACAGTGGTTACCAGAATACCCCTTGTTGTCTTCAAAATAGCTTCCAACACAGTAAAATCAAACAAAACAGAACAGAACCAATAAAAACAAAAGAATGAATGCAATACAAGACTTCAAAACAAGATCATAGTAAATCTAAAGTACCATAATATATCTTGTTATCTTTGAAATAGCTTCCCTTGCCATCAGATATAATAAATTAAACAAAACAAAACAGAATAAAACCATACCAAACCAAACAATGAGAATGATGTGGAATTTCAAAAAAGATACCAGGGAATTAACAATGGCTGTCACCTTCAGAAGGAGATCCCTCATATCTGCTATACTGCATATGGTTATCCTCTCAATAGAAGATCAGACTACCAGCTTAGGCCTGCAAAGTCACTGAAACACTGAATATTTCAAGCACTAAATTGTGTTTTACCTGTTAGCTATCATCACAGCCTGTGTTTCTCCAGATCAGCCAGTTGCTTTCAGGGCTTTGGCTCTTCTTGTCTCCCTGCCCACATGTGGGAAAGGCCTGGCATCTGTCTCCTCCAGTCAGCCCAGGCCTGACACCAACTCACGGGAGGTCTTAGTTTCTTGTTGACTTTTTGCTCTCGTTCCTCGAAGTTGGTGAGGACAACCAGGAGAGGGCTGGTGTCCTGCTCTCCCCCCGCAGTCAGCCTGTGCATGGTGCCAATTCACTTAAAAATTTTTAAAAGAGGAAAAAAAAAAAAACTCAAAAGAAAAAAGAAGATAGTGACCTCGAGTCACTAATTACTTCCTAGGAACTCATCATTTCTATGCATACTCGTGATGTTTATTGTTGTATCACTGGGCTGGGGATTTAGCTCAGCGGCATAAGCACCTACCTTGCAAGCAGGCGATTGTGAGTTTGATCCCTGGTACCGATTAAAAAAAAAAAGTTAAAAAAAAAAAGGGATACATAGAGTTGAGTATAACCTTTACTTCCAAAAACCACGGGGAGAGAGGATTAGTTAACTGTACAATAACAAGATGCTATGCAGGTCCTTAAAAGTAAACTTATGAAAAGTGTTCATGTTAACAACAAAAATAATTTGATATAAGACTTTCAAAAAAGTTCTCCACTGCAGCGTTTATGATAGGCTAGATCTGCTGAATCATTATCCTGCGGTGTAAAACCAACCAATGCTAGATAAAATATACATGTCATGTTTTAAAAGGAGGCCAACCATAAGAAGAATCCACAAATCTGAAGATTATGTGATAACTGGAGGTGCTGGAAGGCTGTGCAGTTCCTGATCCCTGCCCCAGCTCCACTTTTATGATGCCTGAGAGTGGGACTCAGAGACAAAGCCTAGGGCCCCTCTGTGCTGAGCCTTACAGGAGAAATCCAATCAACAGCAGAACTATGAAGGACTGAATTTCAGGGAAGGGTTAAAATGGAACAATGCAAAACAATAAAGCAACAGACGACTCCCCCTTAAGGAGACAAGCGGGAAATGTTCAGCCCTAGGGCTGGGATATAGCTCAGTGGTGCAGCACTGTCTGGCAAGTACCAAAACAAACCAGAACAATAAATGGTCAGCCTTAAACCTGATTACATGTTAAAGAAGGGAAAAAAGAGGGATTGGAGATGTAGCTCAGTGGCATGAGCATCAGCCTGGCAAGGGTGAGGTCAGGAGTTCAATCCTAGGTACCAAAACAAAAAAATGGAGGAGGAGGACGAGGAGGACGAGGAGGACGAGGAGGACGAGGAGGACGAGGAGGACGAGGAGGACGAGGAGGACGAGGAGGACGAGGAGGACGAGGAGGACGAGGAGGACGAGGAGGACGAGGAGGACGAGGAGGACGAGGAGGACGAGGAGGACGAGGAGGACGAGGAGGACGAGGAGGACGAAGAAAAGAAAAGAAAAGAAGTAACCGGTCTATGTTCACATGTTGAGCCCAAGCAACCTTGATATGAATGTTATACAAGAAAATAGTCATATACCAGCCTTCATGAATCTCAGTGCAACATTCTAAATTTGAAATAGGCAATGTAAATTTAGCAATCTATAGGAAACATAATATAGTATGCATATTAGGTTAATTCTGAGAATACAAAGTTTTTAAGAAAAGTAAAATGTATAAATATAATTCATCACATTAACAAGTGAAAGGGGGAAAAACCAATCATCTCAGGAGAAACAATGCGAATTCAATAAATTTAAACAATTAGGCATGATGTATCTGATTAGTAAATGAGAGATGGAAGAGCTTTTAGTGACTGCTTATAAATCAAAGACTCCTTGGCTTTTAAACAGGGGAGATTTTAACGCAAGTCATTGACCATGTGGATGGTGAGAGCCGAGCAGGCCTGAGGAGTGGGCGTCTCAGAGTGGGGTCTGCAGGGCCCCGCCAGACCTCAAGTGTGGCCAGGAGGTGGCCTGGCTGAAGGGGCCAGCCAGGCTGCTCGCGGGTGGTCAAGGTGAAGGGGCTGCAGGCAGGCAGCAGAGTGGCTGGAAGAGACCTGAAGGCAGATGCGTTGGGGTTCAAGGAATCATTGAAGAAGGACAAAGCAATGCTGAGACTCAGGCTGGAGTTTCTAGTCCTGTTGCCTCAGCCTCCCACAGTGCTGGGACTACAGACGTGTGCTGATATTTTTTAATAAGGGCCTGCATGAGCTACAAAATGAGTTGAAGGCCAGCCTGGACTACATAGTGAGATCTTGTCTCAAGAAAACCAAACCAAAGCAAAAGGAAACAAAACCAAAAGTGAGCAGCACCACTGTGGGCCCGTCACAAAGAAACAGGGACACAGTGCACCAGGGCTGCAAGTTCCTGGGTGGGCGAATCCAGACAGTGCAGGCTTCGCAGGAGCGTACAGAACTCTTCTAGGAACTTACTGCTTCTCACCGGGAGTTTCTGTCTTGGCCCAGAGACGTGACTGTTCTGAAGAAAAACAAAAGCGGATGTGGTATTTCTGGTAAAAGACTTAAAATTTTGCCACATCTGTCTTATTAAATGTAGAAACTGCATTGTAGGAGGGAGCGTTGTATATTTTTTTTTAGAATGAAATTTTTTTTTTATTTAAAAGGAAAAAGAGAAAAAACAAAACAAAACAAAGCAATGTAAGGGTACAATTAATACAGAGCTACAAAAAAAAAAAAACAGTAAGAAATCACCAGTTAATAGATTACACATTATCATCTTAGAGATAGTTGCTCAAGTCACAGTATCAAAGCATACAAAGTGGACATTCAAACAGTGAGACTGCAAACAGTTGTGTTCAATGATCCAACCAAAAACATTAATATGGTCATCTATTTAACACCCCTAAACACACTTGCAGTTGTATACTTTACAGCACTTTTTTTTCCTTTCTTTTTTACAACAAAATTTACACATTTTGGGTTTTATTACTCCTTAGTTCTTATTACTTTTTTTGGGGGGGAGAGAATAAAGTCAAATATGGCAAAACAAAGCTGTCAGTCAAAACCAAGGATAGACATAGCACATAATGTATAAACAGAGTACAAGGTTATCGACAATGGTTACCATAATGCCTCTTGCTTATATTTTTGAAAGATAAAGTCTTAACTAATTCCTGCATGTGCAGCTCTGACTCTGACAGATTCCTGAAAAAGAAAGTTGAAAACTGAGGTTCAGGGAGCCATGGAAAACATTTTTTGCTTTATTTTTCCAAGGACTGGGCCTGCATTGAAAGGTGAAAGATATGCTTTCTGGACGTCGAATTTTAGAAATGAACATGAACATAGATGTTTTCAGACTAAAGTTCAAGGGCAGAAGGGCGTGTGTGCCTGCAGAGGCCGTGGCCTTGGTGGCCTCTTCTGTCGTCCTGTGGCCAAAGGTCCTTTAGGTGTTCTGAGAAGTCAAGTTCTGCTGCTGATGAAGCAGAACTTGAATATCAACAGAATGGTTTGGTTCTCAACCTTGGCTGCACATTATTGTCACCAAGGAAAGTTTTAAACACCCAGTGCCCAGGACACAGGAACGGGACAAGAAGAGCTACTGCACAGCGCGTTCACTCAAGCAGCTTGGAAAATGTCCTGAATACCATTGCAGCAGTTACATCAGAATCTCTGCTTGAGTATGTGCAGGATACTGGTGTAAAGACGTGATTGTGCCAGGGCTGGGGATTTAGCTCAGTGGCTCAGCACCTGCCTGGCAAGATGTGAGGTCCTGAGTTCAATTCTTTGTACAAAAAAACAGGGACCAGTATCCTGAACAGTCACACCAAGCAGCTGTTTCAGCAGGGACCATCTCTGTCCTCTGAATTCAGAAGACACAGGCATAACAGCAGAACAAACGAAA